AGGCGAAACCTTCTATTTACTATGATGTGGGCTATTTCGTTATGGTACTCTCCATTGGGAGACTCCCACGTCGAGCGTTGAGGGTGAGGCTTCTGGAATTGCGAGTTGCCATGGATTGCTTTGGTCGCCATGATAAACTCAGGTGGCTGCTCACCCTGCTCGTTCCATTCCAATCAGTGGGCAACAGTGTGACGTTTATCAGACGTTCTTCTTGGTCCGATTTTAGAGTTGAAATCTCCAATGATGACCTTGAAGAAGGTGTGGTCTTCTCTGTAGAACTTCTCCAAGTCCATATAGAACGCTTCGCCTTCTTCTTCGTCATAGTTTGCTGTCAGGGCGTAAACGACGAAAGTTGTCAAAGCCAGAATTGATCCACGTTTTCTTAATCGTAAACGTCCGATTCGGGTTGTAAGTTGTTCAAATGAATCGATGTTCATGGACAAACTCGTGTTGACGAGAACGCCGACGCCGCCGACTCCTCTACTGTTGCATGTTCGGAGAAACAGTTCTCCTCCGGTGTCATAGACGGCGTTGGAAAGCTGGCGTCTCCTCGTCTCGGCCAGGCCGATGACGTCGTATCTTATCCTTCTTGCTTGCATGAGCAAGTCTTCTATCGAGGGCTCGGATGCAAGTGCACGAGCATTCTAGGTACAGATCGTCACCATAGTTCTTTAAAATCCAGGCAACTTCCATTGCCACTAGGATTTTAGCAGCACTCCGTATTCGTTTTACCTAATGCTGCAAATTTTTGGGCTTTTTCGTAGTCAGGGGAATGAGGCCCGTTTTTTACTGGGTTTAGCAGTTTTGATACCCACGTATAACTTGCTGGGCTCTTAACGTGGAGGCTAGGTATACTCACGGGTAGATTGCCAGACTCTCCTAAAGTGGAAATGGATCTTATTTGCTGGAGGCGACTCCTAACCGTCCCCATATACTTCCCTGTCACTTGATTGCAGGCTTTTGGCCGAATTGACTCGTAGAATACAATCCGCATAAGCAAGAACGCACGCACACACGCATGCATGAATACGCTTAGCAAATACAGAAAGTATGTGCCAAATCAGCGCAGCAAAAGCAGGGAGTCCATTCTTGGATCCACCTGCGTCTCAGGGCAAAGGTCGCTTTTGGTCTGCGATTAACCCTCTATCCGCCACCTGAGGACGCGCCACTTAGTCTCGCGACTAACCGGTTCGAGATCGCTCATATGAGGGAGATCCGTGGCTAAAGATCTAACAAAAATTTTTTCCTGCGTTCTTTTCGGTAACAGATGCATCAAATATTGCCAATTCGATATACTGCCTTTTTTTTCTCACCAAATCTAAACATGGTCCAGATCCCAGCAAGCAGTTTTTCGATTCGGTTCGTTTTCATGCATTTCTTCGCCACAGACGGAGTTTTTTGAGATGAATAATTTTACTTCTTTGCGAGGCTTGATGTGGTCGATTCTTCTTAGAATCGTGTGGCAGCTCGACTACAACGTCTCCGGACCGTCATCGCTTTTAAATGTGCGATAATCTCAGTCTTTAACACACAGACCGCCACTGTTGATTTCGATGAGGTCAGTAAACCGCTAACTCGTCCTCGATCTGATTACGTCAAATGCTGGTTGTTCGACAGTAACGGCAAATTTTTTGCACATGGAAAGGTTACGGTGCTGAAAACGTTGGAAAATTATGAAAAACACTTCGCTCTATCCTTTTAGAGGTGAAACTTTGCTAATATTTGCTACATTCCACGATATTTCGCCTGATGAATAAATTGTCGCCAGAATTTGGAAGAATTTCGCTGCCTATATTAACCTTTTATTTTCTGCCTACTATAATTTTTCACAGTAGTGTATCATGTGAATCATAACCACAATGATGCTGAGATATTCGCAAAATTTGCACCACGGACGAGATCCAACCATGTGTTTCCTTTCCGGGGGCTCGCACATTACACACTGCGCCACGAAGACCCTTGCTCCGCGTTTCTCTCAGCCAGTTTTCTATCTAACGCTGCCCTCAGTAACCACCCGTCAGCAGGATTGCTCTGGAGAGCTCAAATTGGCATTGAACCCAGTTAAGCTGGGGTTGTAGTCGAGATCACGACGCTAACCTTTTTGTTGTTGTCTTTGCAGCGTATGCTGCATGCAATACAATAGAAATGACCCATTATAACAATTGGTATTGAAAAAAGGCAAATTGCTGGTCATGAATTCGAAATACGTATGCCGTACGCCCTACGTGGGCGATGTAACCTTGTTTTCTAATAACTCCTAAAAACTTCCAGTAACTAGAAGACTTACGAAGTTTACAGCTTAATAAATTTGTAGGCGAGCTTTTGTGGTGGTACTCTATGAAAACAATTTCTTCTCGAATGTAATATTTCTTTTAAGTCAGTTTAAAATTAAAACTTTTATAAAGAAATCTGATTTTTATAGCGATCGAGTAAAAAAATTTGTTATTCCTTGGCGAATAGTTGTTGCTGACGTGATATTTTGTTTCAGTTGAAAAAGTTCAATGTGTGCAGGGAAATATGCTCGTTGAAAGCTCATATAGATTAGAAGTAAAACTGATCAAATGATTCAAAAACTAGGCGACCCAATAGATGGGCAGGATTTCTTTTAGTTCTCAACGAAAAAAAACCACAGTCATTGTTCTGGGACTCTTGAGATCTGGGACCCTGGAGAAATCTTCGTATTTTTGCTGAGCAAACACGAGGTGTTATTATTCTTTATTCACGAATAAACTGACGTTTCGACGGATTTCGCCTTCCTCAGAGCCGCTTTCTATGAGGATTCCACTAAGTATGTCACGTAGAGACCAACCGCACAGAAATCACATGGAAGTATTATTTGCTCCTCACATCAGAATAACAGTCTTATATACTGCCCTATATCACGCGTTATAATGAGGCATTCTTCCCTGCGGTTCATTTTCGGATTTCTGGAATTAATCGAGAACGCCTCGAGAGTTTTGCACGCTTGTGTTCTTGATTCATGTGCGAGCATCGTGACACATACTTCAAAGTCCTCTCCGTTATGTTTCTGGGTGTTATGCGTGCCTAGTGGGGTATTTGGTAGACGTTTGCCGGCTGGGTGTTCTTTTATGCGAACACAGAGTGGTCTACCCGTTTCGCCAATGTATTCGCCTCCGCACGCCTTACAGGAGATCAGATAAACTATACCCGAGTTCATGCAATCACCGTCTCTGCCACTGGGGCAAATTATGCAATTCTGAGTTGCACATAGACGGTCATATAAGCGGTTACGAGCTAGCCGGCGCTTAATATTACTCGGTGGTATTTCAACTACGTTTATCGAATTCTCTAAACCCGCCCTTCTTAAGCAGCGTTTTATAGCTGTACTTACATCATTTGAGATGAAGGGTAGGATAAACGGGACCATTCTATCGCTTTATTTGTCGTTTGGAGGCCTAGGATTTTTCCTACACCTATCCTGAGCTACAGTTTCGTAGACATTAGAAATGGCTATTTGTCGCGCCAAGTTCCGGGACTCCTCTCTCTGCTCTCCTCCCGTGCACATGTTGGTTGCTGTTCGAAACATGTTTCTTATAAGTGCCCTTTTCGTGTGAGAGGAGAGTTAATGAACCAAGATGTTTTTACTACTTGGCTTTTGGTACCATTTTGTAATGTAGCCATTTTCTGACAAATGAATTTGTACATTCAGGAATGGAAGCCATTTTTCTTTCGGCTTTTCTCGGGTGTACTTGATATACACTGACTGTGCATTTAACAACTCGAAACATTTGTCCATTTCCTCTTGTGCTGAGCAAAGGACAAAACAGTCGTTTAGTAGAGTAGCGGCCCGAGATCAATCACCGGTGCTTCCACCTTGGACATAAACACAATGGCAAGACTTGGTGCCAGTCGTTGTCCCATTGCCAACCTTCTTATTTGAGAGTAGTACTTTCCGGACCATCTGAAGATTGTGAAGCTCAAGCATTCTTTTAAGAGAGCCATCAGGTGCTCTATCTTGAAGCCATATATGTTTACTTCTCCTTCGTGTTGCGTAAGGAGTTCGAATATGGCTCGCATTGCGGAGTCATTCGACACGTTTATATAAAGGGCGGTAACGTCGAAGGACTCCATCACGCACGCGCTGTTGGGCTGCGCAGTACGTAGACGATCCAGAAACATCTGGGTATTCGTAAGATGGGCTGGAATGTGACCCATATAAAAAATCTAAGTATTCGTAAGATTAGCTGGAATGTTAGCCATATAAAAAGTTGCTATCAACTTGACCTTTCCACGCCTTGAGGAAGGCGAAGTTCGCTGAACCCTCAGCTTAATCGTGAATAAAGAATAACAACACCTCGCGTTTGCTCAACAAAAATATGAAGAATTGCTTGATCCATGCCGAGGTTAATAGAAAGTCGATCGTGGGAGTTACTCTGGAAGATCCTCCTATACCGGTACATAAAGCGCTATCTTCCTTGTGAGGTTATTTCTCTTCATTCTATACTTTTTCCTTGCACTTCTTCTTTTAGTTTCTCACGTTTTTATTACCATCTCCATCACTACATAAGCTGAAGCCGACTTAAACTTAGATCTCAGTCGACTTTCTATCGAGAGTGACAAATGGAGGGTTTGGATTTGAAGAGGGTTCGTGGAACTTTAAAGGAAGAGATTTTTTTGAATCATCTGTGCTTTTACCAACTGTTGTCGCTTATTACAGTATTTTTATTCTTTAGTGTTTAAAAATCTCACAAACGATGGCTGGCCTGACACGAAAAACATGTTTAAAAACAATACGGTAGAGCAGCACCACAAAACAGCAAAATATACGGAGAGTACACTGATATAAATCAAAAACTGTACTAATACCAGGACGATTGAGGAAAAATTGCACATTAACTGGTTGCACCATAAAAACTGAGAAATATTTCCACAGGGATATCAAAACCGTCGAGGGAGTTCAGGGAAAACAGTGCGTATGTGATTCCTATACTCGTTTTTTCTATTTCATTGCAGATAAAGCGAGAGTCCAATTATCTCTGTCATGACAAAAAACTTGGTGACAGTACAGTTGCCTGAAGGAGAGTCGGAGAAAGAATTGAGGGCGAAAGAGCATTTGGAGAAAGTATCAGGCCGTTGACCGCAGACGGTGACAAAATATTCGGTGAAAGTACAAATGGACTAAGAACCGCACCACCAGCTACTGCTGGATTAAGGATATTTGGTGAAAGAACATAAGGAGATAGAATGGTTCCGCCGAGAACTGCTGGGCTTAAAATATACGGAGAAAGAACGTACGGTGAAAGGATGATGGATTTAGAGAGAGTTGGTGAAAGAACCGCTGGTGATAAAACAGAAGGAGCCAAAACGAGTGGTGAAAAGAGATTTGGTGAAAGTACTACTGGTCCGAGTACGGTAAGACCAACAATCGGAGCGAACAGAAATGGACTGAGTACAAGTGGTTGCAGTACCGACAATTGACGTTTTTGACGATGCTGAAATTCTTCGCTGAATTTTCCCATTAAGATATCGTGTCCACATAGATATTACTTCTGGAGTCACATACCATTTTGCCAGCGATTTTAGCAATCGCTGCCCAGAGGGCTTCTTCACGGTGTTCTCTAGGTAAGCCAACGTACTGCTGTATGATTGCCCTGATTTTAGGTTCATTCAATCCTAAATGGAGATGATTTGTCAGTAACGAAAAATAGGTATAACGGCATAAAACACTTATGTACCAGTCTTCCTATAGATAGGAATGCTAAATATTTGAACTCGCTCTTGACGATCCAGGTATTTCATCCCTCAGGGTTAGGGAAATTAGCACTAGACTTCTCTGCGAACAGCTTAATCTTAGCGAAAAAAAAGTCTAGTGCAAAAAAAAAATCCAAGCGAAAACGTTCTAGTCCGGCTGTCCCGAGACTTCAGACAAAATCTATTCAATCAGTAATTTTATGTATGATTAAGCTGACACGAGGTTGCTATAAGAGTTTCTATTCGGTTAACGTTTTGGCGCCTTCGCTTTCATCAGATCAGCATTGATCTGAGCCGATGGTCTACTGGTGGTCGTTGTCACGAGGTGGGTGTTCGTCGTCAAGTCGAATCCAATGGAGGAAGCAGCGCTCGAATGGGAAGCCTTATTAGGCTATTGAATGGCCGGACTAGTCAGGTAAAAAACAGTAAAGGTTGTTTGGTACTTAAAAATAACCATCTTTCAGCCTTGAATTGAGAAATTGATATGTGTTGCATAGAATGAGCTCCCTCCATCTACATGTGCCTCCCCGATTCCTTCTGCTAAACACTTCGGACAGCCATGGTATAGCTATTTCAGGAGTTCGCGGAGAATCATTTAGACTAACACTCAGTGACATTCAAAAATCCCCGATTAACACTGGGCCATATGCAAAATCCCAACACTATTGAAAGCGAAGCACTGAACTGATTGAAAAACTCTGGTAATTGTATCTTTCCTAAAGTCGGTCCATATAAATGAGCAAATTATGTGCTAATTGCTCCTGGCAAGTGTAGGTGAGATCTGTGGGTCGACTTGAAGATTAACGCAGCGTTTACATTGAAGAATTATGGCAAATGACAAATTGAATAACATTTCATCGGAACCCGCACTTCCAGGAGAAGAGCTTCGTTGAAATAGCCCTATAAACGAAAATATAGGGCGAGACAACCATTGGAAAGGAGCACACAGAAAGCTTGCTAACAAAAAGAGCACTGTTATGACACTCCCAAGTCCGACTTTCTATTAACCTCGGCATTGATTGAATATATCTTTCTACTTCTGTTCAGCAAACACGAGGTGCTATTTTATTTCTTTATTTACGCACAAGCTGACGTTTCGGCGGATATCGCCTTCCTCAGAGCCTGGAAGGGTCAACTTGACAGCAATCCATTCGGCCAAACACCTCCATAACCAAACAGAGAAAACGCTAAACCAAGATTTCAATCACGTTTAGCATAGCTCTGCACGCTCACCGCTTTCTATGAGCCTTCCACTAAGTATGTCGCGTGAAGACCGACCGCACAGAATTCACATGGAAGCGTAATGTGCCCCTCCCATCAGAATAACAGGTTTATATACTGTCCAATATCACGCGTGATAACAAGGCATTCCTCCCTGCGGTTCATTTTCGGATTCTTGGAATTTATCCAGAATGCCTCTAGAGTTTTGCGCGCTTGTGTTCTCGATTCTTGCGCGAGGACTGTGATGACAATTTTTTACTCAGTTCGCACGAGAACTTTCTAGTGGAAATCTAGTGATGCGAATTAAAAAGATCCAGAAGAGGCTTCATCGGACTATTAGTCTCAACATAAGACTGATGAATCAGAACCATTGAAAAATACGAACAACGGCTTTTATAAGACCAAAACTGGGGAGACTTCCGAAAGGATTCATAACTAAATACATGGTAGGATATAGAGCTAGAAGCAGAGGACGCTGGCTAAGTTTGCCGTAACAACTGAGGTTTCTGTCGCTGGTAATTCCTTACCATGAAAGGATAAAGCTCTCGCTGTTGACCAATCCCTGGAGGATGCGCCATTCATGCGACTTCATTAAGTATCGTTGGAGGTTGAGTGCATATCTGGCCTTTACAATGACTCGCAGTGGCCTACCGATGTGTCGAGCCAGTGCTACTATTTTCCCAGACAACTTTGGTACCAATATATCGATCCCAGAGGGATGGAGGGGTCGGTGGATCATGGGCGCGGGGATCGATTCCACGTGTATGTCATAGTGGCCCCTCCAACCACATAATTCCATTACCTATTACCTACCATATCAGCAGTAATATTCTAATATAAATGCCACTCGATTTCTCAGTCTGTCTCAGAAAAAATGGTTCGACAGTGCCATTTTAAGCTTAGTTAAAAGTGCAAGTTAAGAGTCGCAAATGGGAGTAAAACCGCTAGTGGTTAATTGTTCAGTAATGCTCCGATTCGTAAACGTAGGCAAATGTTTGTGATGACAAGCTGAGAACACCATGCATACTCTACACCAAGTTACTTCAAATAAGCCTAAACCGTAGTTGAAGAAGCTTCCTTGATGAGCCAAAATACTCTTGACACGATGAATTCCCTTGTCCTGGTGATGAGAATAACTGTCTCTCGATCAATTTTTGGGTTGCACAAATCTTGGATAATTTGCATGGATATCCGAACTTTCCAGCCTCTTAAGATCTCGAAATATCCCAAAACGTCAGCTTTTTCGTAAACAAAGAAAAAAGTAGCAATCCTATATTTGCACACCAAGGGAACAGTATTATTCAATACTGTTCCCTTGGTGTGCAAAAAATTATTATTCAATCAGTGCCGAGGTTAATAGAAGGTGAGTCGAGGAAAACAGTGGGTAATTAAAAGAAGTTGTTTAATATGGGATTGAAATTCATATAATACTTTTTACCCGTCGAATTATGGAAGTGTTTGGCGAGTCGATTGCACTTCACTTTGACTTGCAAGCCCTGCCACCGAAACTTCAGCTATTGTGAATTAATAAGCGCTATGATAACAATCTCGTGTTTGCTCATCAAGAAAAACAGTCAGTCCTGGTATTGGTTAAAACGAAAACAGAACTAATGGCCTATTTTGAATACAATTCAAACCAAGTCATTATTTTGCACGTCTAGCATACTGAGAACCTGAAAACTCCATAATTGTACCTAGCGAGCATCAATCCTTCAATTGGAAGGTTCAGACCCACCAATGACATTGCACGAGTTCAAAATTGACAAAATTAAACACGACTTATTTTCTCTAAGTTTAAAGGATAAATGCCATCCTTATTATTGAAGAGCAGTTGAAATCCAAGCTAAGCTACAATCAACAAAGAATACCCAACTACCATGCCAATTAATTGCATGTTATTCCATCGACTGCCACCACACAGGAAGGAATGATGAGGGCAGTTTTTCTCGAAATGTTTACCAATGGAGATCGATTTCCTACTTTTACGTGTCGTTTTAGGAATACGTCTTTATTTAAGTTTCATAGAGGAAGAGCCACTGCTCAGCATTTCTCCAATAGCACTAAAAAAGCCAAGTTCCAAATCCCAATGAGTAAACGCTACCACTGGCAACTGTCATGATGACTTGCCTAGATAACCATAATTAATTCAAAAAAGGTAAACTGAAAAACTCTAGTTTATTACAGCCTGATAACCTTGTTCGTTGTGAAGTTTCCTCATTTGCTCCGGTTCCATAAAAGTGAAACCTTTTCTGTCCATTTCCTGTCTTTGAACGCTCGACAGGGAATCGCGTAGCTGTTCGAAGCTCTCTCCAATCTTCAAAACTTATCCTTATATTGGATTCAAAAATTTCTGACATATTACATAAATTTGATACGAAAGCAATCGCTCCCGAAACAAAATCAAGGATAGGCTCATTTTGTATCAATCAAGAACAATTGGAACTAACACTGCTGGAACATAATCAACACCAACGCCATTAGAAAGGAAAAATAAAAATGGTGTCCAACTTGTCTACTCAAGTACACTAGTTGACGAATTGCGACAACTTTTGTAACACTTTATCGATAAAGAATTTCCTGTCTTCATAGAAATCTGAACATCTCGGATGCTCACGTATAATCCATACCTTTAAATTATTTCCACTTTTTGATTTATTTTACATGATCATCACATTTACTGTGTGGTTCCCAGCACTTCTTGCATTCAATTCGATTTCCTAGCATTCGTCGTGCACAAAGGTCTGCGAACATTCCACTCGTGAACTAGGGGAGGGTGTTGGGAAGGGGACGAACCAGCACCTTGTTTCCTGATGGATTACAGCAGCAACTACTGCGCTACCACCTTCCACCATCTTCAAAGTATAAAGAAAGAAATTGTTATTACCTCGGGAAAGAAAATGTTTCAAAAATTACTGGAGTGTTATTCATATAATTCAATGAGTGTGTAAGTGCTGGTGACGAAGAACCAGAGACACCGTTCAATACGCGCGTGGTCACTTGTTTAACCCCGCACGGGGACAACCAAGCTTCTCATTGCTTTTAGAGTATAAGAATTGTTACTCTTTGATCCAAAAAGGCTTGAAAATACCTTTAGTAAAAAGCTGAAAATGCCAAGCATAGCTGTTAGAATAAAGGACGAAATAGCTCAACCAGCATGACATTAATGTAGGAGACTAAAAATCTTAGAGCATTAGCGAGATCCATGCGGAAATCCGAAGGTTTTCGTCGATGATGCTTGAGAGAAAACAAATTTAGCGCTGGAATACATACAGTATGTGGCTTACAATCATAAAATAAAGCAAGTAAGATAACTGAATGATTTGTTGGCCTTCTTCATTTTTTTCATTTCATAGCTAAACAGTTCGTCTTAATGAACATCGTTCAAATTTCAGCGTAACTCCAATGGTATGATATTTGGCTATCTGAACAAATCCCTTTGTCACTCAAGTATAATCTAAACGAAATGATTCCATTCCATTCCATTATCACTATAGCGCATTACTTCACTTGCCAGGTTTTCTGAATCTTACTAAAAGCGCGCTCCTACATGCACCAACCTCTTCAACCGAGTAGGGGAGCAGATTCATCACTTGTGGTACCTTTGTGGGCGCTAGGAAAGCTATTACAAATGGATTTCGAAAGAAGTTGGGTGGAAAAGCACTGAATGTTCTCGCCCTTTCCGCCCTTCGTTGCCATAATAATTCTAGATATGAGGCCTTCACTGCTGACTACGCTGCTTCCCTCTACAATGTATCAACAAAATGAAGACTTAGTAAATATCCGAAATGCTTAGAAAGACATCTACTTTTTCCTCGTATTAGGATTTCTCAAAGCATATGAAGAAACTTTTATATTTTACAAATAATACAGCAAAGACAAAAAAACTGGTACTGTGAAAACAAGCTGACCTAAATTGAGTAAGCTTACCTTCTCTGTCACATTTAAGAGTTCACTTCCTAGCCCAAATGAGTTCAGATTTTGTAGCATCTATAAAGCATTATAGTTATTTTCACCGCACCGTCACATATAACAAGGAATCTTTAGATTACGATATAAGAGAATAATTTACTACCAAGGAAGTAAGTTGGTTTTTCTATTATTTATTGGAATTTCTCACCAGGAGGTATAAGGAAGGAGGATAGATATTACAACGTCGTTCCAATTTAAATGAATTACAATGGCGTAGGTGGCGCAATGACTTATGCAGTTAGCGCATCTAGCGTAATGGTTGATGGATAAGGTGCTCTGCAATGCGCACATAGTCGTAGTCTAGATCTCGCAACAAAGCGAACCATGTTCTAATTCCTAAGGTCAGAAAACTGATAACAAACTTGAAGAAAAGCAGTATGCCGACTTGATGCACCGATAGGCACCTGAAGTACAAGCCAAGTATGCATTCAGCAGTCCCTCTGGTGGTTCGAATACAAGGGAATGTATGTTGGATTCCCTTAGTATTGAGTAAAGTTGGGCACGAATTTCAAAATTTGTGCTCTCAAAATGTAATTCTAAAGTTGAAGCAACACGATTCGCCTTACCGTCAGAGCTTTGTCCACAGATTCCTGGACACCTGTGACTTCCATGACCATTTGGATAACCTCTTCGCGGTCACTTTTGTTAAGACCAACTTTTTCCAGCATCTGCAAAATTAGAAATTGTCTGTTCGAAAGACTGATTTTCTATAAACCTTAGCGCAAATAGTTGATATGTTTCAACTTATTATTTAGTGCCTACTCATACGTTGCGAAATATAACTTCAATGATTCCCGTTCGTTCCCCAGCGCAGACACCTGCGGTACGGAGTTTTGGAAATATCTCAGCATCATTGAAGTTAATATGTTTATTTATATGTTCTCATTAGGCTCATACGAAGTTGGTATAAGTTTTCGTTGTCATTATTGTTTGTGTCGTTGGTTGATGGTCGCTCTGGGAGTTGGACTCTCACTCGTAACATCACGGCTCTGAAGAAGGCGAAATCGCCAAAACGTCGGCCATAGACCAACAACAACAACAGCGACAAGAACAAAAACAAGCAACAACAACAATAACGACACAACAGCAACAACAACAACACAATAACAACAACAGTAACAACAACAACGACTACGACAACTTATTCCAACCTCTCATCAGGTTAACAAGGTCAGTTCATAAGAACTTATAAATGAAAATGTCAATTCAAACAACATGACTACATGTAAGTACTACCCTTTGTTATCTAAAACACTTCGAATTAAGGAGAATCTTCTAGGCCAGGTTAGTAAAAAAAGACTAGGAACTTTGCCTTCCTACAATGGTCGCATGACCTTTTCGAGGATGGAGGTAAGTAATTTTGGCGAGAATGTATAGCTTTGTCAAAGCCCTGTTTGACACCAGTGTTAACATTTTGTAAAATAGTTATGTGTTGGCTAGGAAATTTTTATGTAGCTTTCGAAGACCCTTCTTATACCGAGTAGGGTAGCCCTTCCATAACTGTTTCTATCATAACTGAGTCAAAAGCTTTACTCAAATCGATGAAATTAGTACAGAGCGATCTCTTGTACTAACAAGATACTTGAGTGTTCCCAGGATCGACTTTCTATTAACCTCGGCATTGGAATATGAATGTGTCGTTTTCTTGTTCAGCAATCGCGAGGTTTTTAAACAGCATACATTTACTTCCATAGAAAAACACAATACATTGTATTGTACAACGCATTGTACAACGCTAGCTGACGTTTCGGCAGTATCGCCTTCTTCAGAGCCGCTTTTTCGTGACTTTCAATGAGGAAGTTTAGAACAGCTGATTATAGTCGCATGTGGTTGACGACTCAGCGGCTCTGAAGAAGGCGATACTGCCGAAACGTCAGCTAGCGTTGTATTGTATTGTGTTTTTCTATGGAAGTAAATGTATGCTGTTCAAAAACCTCGCGATTGCTGAACAAGAAAACGACACATTCATACTTGAGTGTGTTTCATTATTGTGTAGGTGCGGTGTGCCGTAAAAGCTCAAGAAGACCTCTCGGCGATGATTAATCCCTGAGGAATAGTGAATACATATCTGTCCTTTACATTGACTCGCGGTGGCCTACCGATGTATCGAGCCAGTGCTGTTATCCTCTCAGAGAAGTCTGGTACCAATTTGCCGACCCCGGAGCGATGGAAGGCTTGGTGAACCACCATGGGCGCAGAGATCGATTCCACGTGTGTGTCGCAGTGGCGCCTCTAGCCACTACGCCATACGCGCCCTAGTGCACCGTAACGAACATTTTTCCAAGCTCTGCTTGCTAATGTGGCTGTCCTTCGTTGAATATTCAGTCAATTCTATTTGGGGTTACTCGAGTGAAGAGTCTGTAGACAACAGATGGTAGTTAGATTGGGCGATAGTTGCCTGAACCGTCTATGTCACTCTTTTTGAACAATAATACGGTCTCTCTCAAGCAATCACGTAGGTAATACTGTCTCCCAATATTTTTAATAATAAAATTTTGACAGGTGATTGCTGATGGCAAAAGATCGATAGAACTAGCTGAGAGACAGGCGAAACGAAGGACTCGCAAGGTGTGGTGGTGAACGCTTGACTCCCCGAAAAGGACAATAGCTCGTTCGTTCTCCACCGCAGATACCTGTGGTCCGGAGTTTTGCAAATATCTCAGCATTATAGAAATTACTGCTACTCTTTTTTCTTTAAGATCTTCTTCTATCGTTTTTCTTCACTATTTTGCAAGTTCGGACGATAATTCGCTGTTGCCTGCAGCTCTTGCGATTCCACGCTTACAGGCCAGTCCGACTACTACTGGACATAAACGTCTCTTTGCGATTTTTTCAGGTTTCATAACACCAATGCGAAGATGTTGATCGAGGTGATTGCATCACGTCCAGCGTTGAAGGTGCGGCTTCTGGAATTGCGAGCTAGCAGGAATGGTCTTGGTCGTTGTGACAATCTTAAACAGTCGTCCACCCTTCTCGTTCCAGTCTAATCTCTCTTCAAACGTAGTCATATTCTCCGGGTACGCATAGGGCACAAAAGCACAACGGCGATGATTTTGAAGTGAATGTGCGGATCCTAGCGCAGGAATCAAAAACATCAACGCGCAAAACTCTTGAGGCGTTTTGGATAAATTTCAAAAATCCAAAAATGAACCGGAAAGACGAATGCCTCACTATCACGCGTGACCTGGCGTCCTATTTCAAAATGATATTTGAAATAGGGGTGTGTCTGTCTTTCTGTGTCCCCGGGGTGTGTCTTACTCGCGAGTCCACGAAAACAACGTGTGGGCC